AATCCAAAGATTGATTGTAGTATCAGATTGCAAGCAAGTACCAACATCAACAAGATAGAACAGCGACGACAGAACAGCGACGACAGAACAGCGACGACAGATCAAGCATCGACTCCAGCCACAGCCATCAGCAATACCCAGTGCGATGCCTCGCCGCAGTCGAACATGACATGACATACCTACCTTACCTACCTCTCCATCCATCCATCATCCTCCCATCCCTGAGCAAGCCAGCAAGCCAGCAAGCCAGCCAGCCAGCCGAGCCGATTCAAGACCGAACATCCGAACCCGGTATCCCCCCCCTTCCCTCACCCCTCACCCATGTCACTCAATAAACCCCCTTTCATGCGATGCGCACTCGCTACCGCGTCCTCCTCTCTCGATGTCCACACCCCGCTCGTCGAGCCCTTTTTTTTATTTTTCTTTTCAGGGGTTTTCGTATGTCTGTCTATTAGTCAGTCAATCTGTTAGTCAGTTAATCAGTTAGTCAGTTAATCAGTTAGTCTATCTGTCTATCTATCTGTTAGTCAGTTAGTCAGCTAGTCAGTTAGTCAGTTAGTCAGTCTGGTCGCACGCACACACACACGCACGCACGCATGCATGCATGCATGTACCGGTAGGTACTACTACGTACTATGTGCATGCGCGCCTCTCCTTCCCGCACCCCCGCACCCACGCATCGTGAAATATAGTAGTAGTACCGGTAGTAGTAGATTGATTAAAAACCAAAAAAAACAAAAAAAAAAAAAAAAAAAACCTCCCTCCTCCGTACTTCGTAACTAAGTAGTAGTAGTACGTAGATGCAAAAGCAAAAGGCAAAGGCAAAGGCAAAGGCAAAGGAAAAAGGGACAGGAAAAAGGAAAAAAGGGGGGGGATAAGACGAGGAGGGCCGGTAACGGGTACGGGTACGGACGGTATCAAGCCCAGCCAGGCGAATCGGGACCCTTTCCATCCATCCACCTATCCACCTATCCAACCCAACCCTTTCCAGTTGGAAAAACACCCCACTCACTTACTTACTCACTTACTACGTACTTACTCACTTACTCAACTCAACTTACTCACCTCACTACCGTACGTACGTACGTACTAACTACTCCATCCCTCCTCCTCCTCCTCCTCCACCACTCCCTCCACAGTCAACCAACCAACCGACGGAGGCCAGCAAGCAAGCCATACTCCTCCGCCCTCCGCCCTCCGCCCTCCGCCCTCACTCACCCACCCACTCACCCACCTACCCACCCACCTCCCTACCTCCCAGTATCCCATCCGCCCACCGCAACTACAGACTACAGCCTACCGTACACCGTCCACCGCAAGCAGAGAGACAGCAGAAAACCTACCCACCAACTCACTCACCAACCCACTTACCAACCCACCTACCCACCTATTCACCAACCCACCAACCCACCCACCAACCCACGCAACCAACCCACTCACCCGCCCTTCCCGCACAAAAATAGCAATAGAAGTCGACAAGAGATCCATCTATCCATCCATACCTCCTCCCTCCTCCCTCCCCTCCCCTACAGTACAGTACAGTACCAGTACCACAAGCAAGAAAAAATCCAAATGCTTAAAGGCGACCGACACTTCGAATCTGGACCCAGACCCAGACCCAGACCCAGACCCAGACCCAGACCCAGACCCAGACCCCCTTTCTCTCTCTCTATCTCTCTGTCGCTCCGCTCCGCTCCGCTTCACTCAACCTGAAACGCGCCGAGGGGTATTTACGGAAATGCAGGACTAATTATAGTAGTAAGTAGGTGGGTGGGTAAGTAGGTGGGTAAGTAAGTAAGTAGGTGCTGTACTGTACTTGTGTAGTGTAGTGTAGTGTAGGTACTAGTAGGTAGGACCGGTAAGGAGGAGTGACTGCTGCTGCTGCTGCTGCTTACGGCTAGGTACCTACCGTATACCGGTACCGGTAGTACTGCTAAGTTAAGTAGGTAAGTAGGTAGGTAGGAGTAGGTAGGAGTAGGTACTATTATAAGGTAACTAACTACTTATGACTATGACTATGACTATGACTATGACTACCGGTAGTACGACTACTGTATGACTTGCTGTAACTTTCTTTGTGAGGGTGTGGGTGCGGGTTGTGTGGCTGATGCAAGAGTTCGTCCGTTCACAAAGCATACACACACACACACACACAAACCTACACAACTCCATACGTACGGAAGGGTTCCCTTCCTCTTGTTCTTCTTCCTCTTCTTCTTCTTTTCATTCCTCCTCTTCTTAATTCCTCCTCTTATCCCTCCTCTTTATCCCTCCTCTTACCCCTCCTCCCCCTCTTCATCTCCTCCTTCTTCTTTTTTAGAAAACCCGCACCATTCAAGCAGTGAATTAAATAGCAGCTGCTCTGGTTAGATTACTCGCAACTATTTAGAGCTCTGGGGGGGAAAAAAAAAAAACTAAAAAACTGACCACACCCGAGTCCCCCCTCCCCTTCCCGTAACCCCCCGGTACCCTTAAAGCAACTTGCTTGACTGGCCAGGACGGGAAGAAGGAAGGAAAAAAAAAAAGGTTCCATGGCGCCAACGGACGGAATAGACAGACTCCCAAAAAGGCGAAGATCGTGACTAACAGAAAACTCTTAATCCTGCACCCCAGTCCCCTTCCCCCCCCGCTCCCCCCCTCCCCTATCATACGGAGGAGGTACCGGTAGTAGGTACCGGGAACTCATGCGGCCAGCATACCATAAGTACTATATTTATCTGTCCCCACCTCGAAAAGATAAAGAAAAAAAGAAAGAAAAAAAAAAGGAATCAAAAAAAAAAAAAA